TTGAAAATTGACAGAGAACTAGTTCGTATTTTATGTTTTTATTTTTTTTAAGTTGGAATGTTAATGATTATAAATTATCTATAATTTTACTAACAATCAATTTATGTGTTATTATTTATAAGTTTAACGAATTTAGTTATAATATCAAAAATAGTAAATACATTTCATCGCATATATTTTATATTATTTGATTAAATTTACGAGGAATTCAAGTTCAGTGTCATGAAACATGTGATTTATGAAATATATTGTATATCCGGTATGTACAACTCCCTCTGAAAATGCAAAGGGAATACACGCCAATAAACGGGCACGAGAAACAATCTGAACACAAAAATGGTGGGTGCTGAAAATGATAATCACGATCGTAAGGAAGTAAGCATCAAAGATAGTATGGATAACAATCAACAAAATGGAGAATTAGTTTCTACAGAAAACAACGAAGAAAGAGATGTGCGTTAATTATATGTATTGTTGTCTTGTATTTTCTCATTTTATAATTTATTTTATCCCTGGAAATATTTATCGTATTTCATCAAAAGTAATGAGCTTAATTTTATTGTCATTTCACATGTTAATTTCACTTGAAAATTTCTTTAAAAATTGATTCCAGTATAATATATAATTTACCAAATTTGTAAATTTGTCAATGATATATAAATAATTGTTTAGTGGTGTAATAAACCTAATGTAAATAATCGTTGCAACCTGTTTTGTTCAATACAGCGATGATATTGCAAATTTCGTTTATTTCAATCTTATCGAAGTTATATGTTAAAAACTTATTTTTTCTTCTATCTATATATAGGTAAACGCAGAAATTGACGAACAAAGGAAAAAATATCAACCAACGCGCCTAGAATCATTTTTCGCAATAACAAAATCCTTAATTATACGTGCCCTCATCATCTATTGTATCAGTCATCTATTCAGACGACTTCAAACTGATAATTCTCAGTTTCCTGGTGTTATCAATCCAGCACATTCACAAGCTGTAAATATATTTGAAAATGGAACATTATTTGACTTACATGTTTATTTATCAGAATCAGAGAATTTTAAGCAATTTGATGATCCAAGAACATTAGTATGGTTAGAACAAGGATTAGTATATGGAGATTGGTACAGTGGACCATTTCAAGATGGATCAAAAGTTAGAAATTATAAATTCGTTGCAACCGATCAATTAAAAAATAATGGGTCTATATATCTTCATATATATGTCACTAAAAGTGGAAAGTCTCCGAACCCCAAAGATGGAAAAAACTATGCAGGAGATTATATGTCGTACTCTAGAAAAATGTTAAATAAATTCAAAAAAGTTAAATATCAAAAAAGGCACAATCTATTAACTGGTGAAACTACTGCAAGTAAAGAAGAAATTGAGGTGTGTATACTTTGTAGTTCATTTTATATATATATGAAAGTAAAGATATTTATATTCATATTCATTGTAGAAAGCTGAACTAATGAATCAAGAATATTTATCACATTGGCATCCAAATTTAACTATTAATTTAGTAACAGATCATACTAACTGGGTATATGGTCAAATATCTCCACCTTTAGATACATGTAAGTTTCCCCTTAACATATTTTAATCTTTATTTATGTAAATGTATGTAATTAATATAAATACTTCTTTTCAATAGATATTCATTTTTTACCTGGTGAGAAATTCTATAAGCCTATAATATATATGAACGATTTTTGGAATATGCAAAGAGATTATCAACCCTTAAATGATACTGTTAAAGAGCTTGAACTTAGATTAACTTATCAACCACTTTCATTATTTAAGTGGCAAATTTATGCAGCTCAGTCAATGAGAAATAAATGGATATCTTCACTTATGGGTATGTTATTTTGTGAATAACATTAAAGTAAGTACAAACAAAGTTTTGTAATAATATTTTTATATAGGAGATTCAACAGACGAAGAAGACGATGATCAAGATACTTTAAAAGAAACACTATTGGAAACTAATCCTTACCTATTGGGTCTGACTATAATTGTATCAGTATTACACAGTGTATTCGAATTTTTAGCATTTAAAAATGGTAAAGTTAAAAATAAATAATTTAATGTTTATAAATAGACAATTATTAAATTATAAATTATTTTTAAATGCTCTTTTATGTATTTTTTTAGATATACAATTCTGGAACAATCGTAATTCATTGGAAGGACTGTCAGTTCGATCTGTATTTTTCAATGTTTTTCAATCATTGATTGTTTCATTGTATGTTCTTGACAACGACACAAATACAGTGGTTCGGATTAGTTGCGCGATAGGTTTATGCATAGAAATATGGAAAATTAATAAGGTCGTAAATATTACTGTTGATAGAAACTCAAAAATACTCAATATCTTCCCAAAAATAAGTTTCCATGATAAAGGATCATATGTAGAATCATCCACAAAAGAATATGATAGGCTTGCTTTTAAATATTTATCGTGGACTCTTTATCCTCTTCTAGGAGGATATGCAATTTATTCATTGATGTATTTAGAACATAAAGGATGGTATTCTTGGGTTCTTAATATGCTCTATGGGTTTTTATTAACGTTTGGATTTATTATGATGACACCACAGTTATTTATTAATTACAAATTAAAAAGCGTGGCACATCTTCCATGGCGTATGATGTCTTATAAATTTTTAAATACATTTATCGATGATATTTTTGCATTTGTTGTAAAGATGCCAACATTATATAGAATTGGTTGTTTCCGCGATGACATCGTTTTCTTTATATTTTTGTACCAAAGATGGATATATAAAACTGATCATGCTAGAGTAAATGAATTTGGCTTTTCTGGCGAAATGGAAGTTAAAATGATTAAAGACAAAAAGCAAGAATCTATCAAAGATCGTCCAAAAAGTGAAGCAAATAAAAAGAACGAGTAATGTCTGGTGCATAATGTTAGCGTTAAATATATTATTCAAACTTTATCTTAAATTAATAAATTTATTAGTACCAAAGGATATATCTATACGCATTAATGTATACCTTTGTGAGTTTAATATAACTACGTGTGTATGTATATATTCTTTTGCTTTTAAGATCTAGCTAATTGAAAAGTCTCGCAGAGACATTGATGTGCTTGAATAAGAATATCAATGTTTATTGCAATCGGCAAAATGTTAGAAAAAGATTTAGTGCAATTGTAAAGAATGTTATAAATATGTACTCTTTTTAGGAAGCAGTTGTTACCATGCTTTGATTTAAACTCGTACATTTCGTTTATGTTTCAATGCTTTGTAATAATCTTCATTATTTTATATCAAATCAAACATATACATGTAAAGTTTATTTGAATGTTTAAAGATATTCCAAGCTACAAATTGTTTATATATATATATATAATGTATATAATTATATATATAATATATATGTATAATATATATAATATATATATACATGAAACGATCTGTAATTCCGATTGCTTACATACGCAAATATTGTAATGAGTATATGTACATCAAATTTATATATAATGAACCATAAATAATATAAATCTTGCGTCAAATATTTTGTGTTTACTGTTGTCTATATACGTATCGAATATTGTAACATATTTTTGCAAAAAATAGTGAATTTTAAACGATTTTCATGATGAATATGTTAAAAATTAAGTTATCTTTGCTATTAAACAAAATTATAATTATTGTTTTTAATAAATCAGTGTCTTCTACGAATATTTAATTTTGTCATAATTATCAGCAATAGAATATTTTGTTTATGAAAATAAATAAAAAGGAAAAAAAGTTAAAGTTACTTTATTTTTATATAATTTATTGACTTTAAAATATTTTTATCTAACTTGATTTTCGAAAATGAGCATTAGTGTTGCTAAATTAAGGAATGAATTATTTTATTAACAAATTTGACTTGACGTAATCAGGAAACGATGCAACAATACTTGTGAATCAAATGTCTAATTTTTTGTATAAAATGTGTTATGAAAATGTCAATGTAATGTAGATTTATAAACAATTTAAAGTACAAATTGCTATACATATATATCTATAATGTATTCATAAAATACAGTTACTTTGAGGTCAAGGAACATCTACATATTCGTGAATGTTCTTGTATTATTTTGTTTAGTACCATATCAATTATAATTGTGTTCATATAAGCATTTATTCTCTCGAAATAATTATCAAAAATAATTGAAAACAATGAAATGTGAGATTAAGAATACAATTATTATCGAGTACAATACTATAAATAATATTCATAAAACGTGACAAATTGTAAACGAAACAGAATTTAATTATTCTTTACTACATTTTAAAGATTGCATGGCATTAGCGAAGTCTATTATTTTGTACATTAATATACTGTATGTATAAAACGTACCTAATTTATAATATTTGAAAAATTAAAATATTAAACAATAAAAACAAAACCTTCATATATTATATAAAATCGTAATCTTTTATTTTGTCTTAAATTCATAAATATTAGAGAATACTATTTACACAGCTTGAAGATGCATCATATTTGTCAAACAGTACAGAATGGAGTAACAATTTTAACCAAGACAAATCAACAGCAAAAGTAAATGATGCTACGTATTTGTATATATATAATTCCTGTGATGTAAAATAAAAATAAGGCAGTATGGGTATAATAAAGTTTAATGGAAATAAAAATAACTAAACAATACTGTTGTATTTTGTACGTTGCTTAAATTTTATATACTGTGTAAGCTTGAGCTTACAAAATTTAAATTATTAAAACAATATATATTGTTTAAAAATTGTTGCTACTCAGCACAATTGTGCCGCTAAAATGGCAGTACTTTAAGTAACGGACATCCGTACTACTTTACAAATGGGCTGTGCTTGATAATATTTAAAAATGATGTAAGATTTGACTGAAAAATGCTCTACAAAATTTTCGATTCTTTCAAATCTAAGCATACCTTGCCTTTCTCTATATAAATGAATTGCTATACCTTTTTTTGTTATTATATATTCATAGATTAGAAATTATCATTGTTTCATTGCTTATACAGTATTTGCGATATGCATTTTATCTATGTAGCAAGGCCTGCATCTTTAGCTATACTACTGAACAAACTAGTCGAATTATGCAGCAATGTGTCTGGAGAATCATATTCCATGATGCGCCCATTATCCAGCACAATGACCCTATTAGAAGTTTTTTTATTTAATATCGATCATTACTTTGAAAATTATATTACAAACTTGTAAAACATACCTGTCTGAATCAAGAATTGTATTAAGTCTATGAGCTATCGTAAGAACTGTGCAATCTTGGAACTCTTGTCTAATTGTTGTTTGAATTAAATCATCTGTTTCTAAATCAACTGAAGCTGTGGCTTCATCGAGAATCAGTACTTTCGTTTTCCGAAGCAATGCTCTTGCTAAACATATTAATTGTCGTTGACCTATACTTAGATTCTCTCCACCTTCTGATAATTCATATAAAAGACCATTTGGCAAGTCTAAAACGTAATAAGACATTATATTTCCCACGTAATTTCTCAATACTATTTATCAATAAAATAGTATTCACTTTTTATGAAGGATTTAAGATGCGCATGTTCCAAAGCTCGCCAAATTTCATCATCAGTATAATAATTGAAAGGATCCAAATTTATCCTTAGACTTCCTGAGAATAATACAGGATCTTGAGGAATAATAGTCAATCTAGATCTTAGATCATGAAGTCCCAATTTAGTAATATCAATGTCATCGATAATAATCTTTCCATCAGCTGCTTCTATTATTCTAAATAGAGCTAATGTCAAAGACGATTTCCCAGCACCAGTTCTACCAACGATGCCAACCTTTTCTCCTCCCTTAACGGAAAATGATAATCCACGAAGAACAAGGTCTAAGCCTTCCCTATAACGAACTTTGTAATCTTTAAATTCTACTCGTCCTTGCAAAGGCCAATCTTTAGGTACTGTATAATCTGGATTTTTCCATGCTGCTTCTTGAGGGGTTTCTCCGTATTCTTTTATTCTTTCTACAGCTACTATGTTAGTTTCAACATCAGAAGTCATTCGTACTAACCAATTCAATGTTTGAGTAACCTAAAGTGACAATTTTTATAAAAATTTGTTTTAAAATCAAGTTAATCAACATTTTTATTCATTACTCAGTAATGAAATCAGTAATGAGTAGTGCATATATCTCATATCTCGTTTATATGTATAACTTACTTGCAAAGCATAACTAACTGATAAACCAACTACACCAGATTGTATAGTGTCTCTACCTAATACAGCAAACAATGCAGCAAAGAAAATAATTAAATTTCCAACCATTTCTAAACGTACTGCTAACCATCTGCAACAAAACAATGAATTACATTTCATATAATCATTTTGACTTTAATATTCATTTGACATTAAAATTTGTAGGAAAAATTTATACCTGTTTGCAATTATACTAGGGTAATAGCACATCTGATTAAAATCTACTTTACTTTCAGATTCTTGAATAAATCGGTCTTGCACTCCAAATGCCCTAATCATCTGTGCTCCTAATAAATCAATTACTGATATTAACTATACATAATCATATATTTTTGCTACTTAATTATTCTAAAATTATAAATCAATAATGAAATAAATATTTTACATACCAGAAACTGTTTCACTAAAATGTGAATATATAGGAGATCTTGAAACAGATTCTAAACGTTTCAACTGTCTTGAGGATGCAACATATAAGCGTTGAACAAAGTAATAAATTACACTTATTGGTATTATGACTGCTATAAATTCTGGTGTACTAAAACTTATAACCACTAAAGTGGCTATGACCTGTAATATGAAGATAATATTCAGTAAAAAAAAATATTTCTTAAAGAATAAAAACAAAAGATAAAATCAAACACTCATATACATATAATCAATACATATAAATACATGTATATAATCATGAAATAGTAACCAGAAACTAGCTTTGATACAAAGAACTTATGAGTTAATGATCATGCAAGTTCTTAGATGAAGCACCCATATCTATATTTCCAGACATTAATACACAATTGAGTACAAAACTATATTCATTTCAATTAAAGAATGCTTGCACCAGCATCTCTACCATTTACTACACAGGCATACTCTCTTCATATTCGGTAATTTTAACACAATAAACTATAATAGTAATTTATTGGAAGGGACACAATTATACTTGATCTCAATTTACACAATGTTTTTACACCAAATTATTTAAAATTACATATCATTATTAAATACTTAGAGTTCATTAAAGAACTATAATTGAAGTAATGTAATACATCATTCGATGTAAGATTGCAGAATGATTAAATGATCAAGATGTTTTTGATGATTATTCAGGAAATACCAACCCTTTAGCGAAATAGAAGTACATGAGCATCCAATGAATTATGATTTAAGGAATTATAGCATGGAAATGGTTATAGTCAATCATCTTAATTTGGTTCAGGTATTTCCAAAAATTACCTCAAACAAACAATAGATGCTATCGGAAATTTGTTGGGGAAGAGATGTGTCCAGTACGTCGACATCTTTAGCAAACCTGGAGATAATACGACCAGTAGGAGTCGTATCAAAGAAGGTCAATGGAGCACGCATCACTGCACGCAGCATCATTATGTGCATCTGGCGAGCAGCCAGCCAGCAGCCCAGTTGCGGTGCCAAATCGCAGAAAAAACTCGCCATCGCTACAACATCAGACATGATTTGCTTTCATTGTAACCATTCTAATAAAATGGTACAAATATGACCAAAATTTTTAAGAATCTAAGGCACTCTATAAATTCTTTCCATTTAATATTTTTATATGAATTTTTCATTGTTATTTTGAAGTTTTATTCAAAACAAATAGTTTATAATATAATTTATTATCATATAATAAGAATGGTTTGAAAGCACTATTCACTTCTAGTATCCATAAACAAATAGAAGTTCATTTCATCTATATTTTTTAACAACTATAAGTTTGTAATATGAAAAAATTAAAAATACTAATCTGTCTTATGTTATGCGAGGTGGTGAAGTTTGCTGTGGTGTGGCATGCCAGATATGAATAATGAAACAATACACAAGCAAATCAAGCATACTTAGAGAAGTTTCCATATTTGATACAAAAGATATATACTACTCTGAAGCACAAGCAATGTTACTTTTTTATAAAAACATTGATTGTATAATTGTGTCCATTACCTTACTGATTATGATGTTATTATTGCTCTGTAGGTTTTTATACTATAGATTGTTGGTGACTGTATCAAAAGATTGTTAAAGTTGACATTTATTGCTAATTACAATTTTTATGATAAGATTTAAACATTAAAATGGTGGTTGATATTGATTAAACAAAATATATATTAACATTCCAACAAAATATATGTAGATATTAACAAAATACGGTCACCACACAATATATTTTATTATACTAAGGAAAACATAATCATGAATTAAAGTAAGATCTTATCTATCCCCAAATATAAGAATGAATTCTACTAGATTTTACATTAAGAAAATATAGATTATGAATAAAATCTCAAATATTTTTTAACGAACACTTGTCCAATAAGTTAATGTACTTTTGTGAATAAAATAACTATTGACTGACTATTATAAATAGAAATACTTTCTTTTTCAAATAATCAGTGCATGAAACCCTTTGATCTGTATATGCATGCAAACATTTGTATTTCAATTTCTTTTTAATTTAAAAAGCTTATATTTTTTATGAGCACAATTAGATATAAATGATTGGAACCATTATTAAACATAGCCACTGCGTAAGTGGATATAAACTTAATTCATAATCTTTGATGAGATTTAGAATTTGTTAAGCACAGTATTTACAACTTGAAAATATCATACCCCAAAGAGGCAAGTAATCCAAGAACGCAGTATGGATGGCAGCGTATTATCAATGACATCAGTGTCTTTAGAGAGTCGATTAAGAATTCGACCGGTTGGAGTTTTGTCAAAAAATGACATTGGGTTCCGGAGAACACGTTGCAACGTATTCTCGAAGAGATGCATGGAAGCGCGTATTGTTCCTTTTGCCAAGATTAATGCCCCTCCAAGCACTGTCATGCCTACAATGATTGGTGAGAACTTTGGTATATCATTAAACCTAACGATTATATATCAAGAATTGCATCAGTTCTTGCAATATTTCCATTTCACATACATTATAAATTTAAATGAAAAATTAATCTTTTTAGCAATAATATCGAGTTTCGTTATTTCTCACCATCTGCTTAATATCATGTGCAAGTCCCTTTTTACAGTCACACATGTATTAAGATGCATTTATAATTAAAAGATACTGATATTATTGTAGCATATTAACAGAACATGAATAAATCCTTACATCAAAATTACCTAACTTTATTTATCCTAACAAAATTAACTAAGTAACATAAATTAATTAATAAACGTGCACATTACTACTGTCATCTTTTAATCGCTATTATTCTTTAAACAAATTCTTATATTCCAAACGTATTCAAATTTTAGATACTACTTTAAATTTTTTCATTAATAAATTTTTTTCATTAATACTGATTGATCAAATTTTTATGTTTGTGATAAAGTATAAAGTATTACATTACTGTCCTTTCTAAAACGATGTAGTATCAAACAGAATTGGTAAGAGATTGTAAAGATTATAGTATAAAAAATAACATTGAATGATAAATTTTCTTTGTTTAAGTACTGATTACTACAAAGTGCATTTTTACGTAAATAATCATTGCTCTATTATTATGAAAAAATGATATAGCATGTTAATATTATTAGTAATTCAACCTGACTAGATAGAAATATAAAGTACACACTTATGTGTATATAAAAAATAAATAAATTTGCAGTTTCAATAACAATTGGATTATAATAAGTATGAAAATTTAAAAATATAAAACATATAAAATTTATATATTTTGATAATAGATAGGTAATAAAAAGCTTTGTTATCTCTCTACTTCATGCTCAAATATTATACATAAATATTACATGAGCTTATACATATATGTGAATTGATCAGTGAATAAAGTAAATAAGTACATGCGACATATTAATTGCGATAAAATGCGATAAAATTAATTTTGAACAGCAAAAGTAATTGAAATAATTGCATTTAAACATACATATATCTCTACAAAGCTTTATTTTATTTATAAATATTCTGTTAACACAGCAAACCGCACTCGCACTAATATTTTAAGATTTCGTTAGTATTTTAGTTTTAATTGCGTAATTTCAAACAAAATGTATAAGAAAAATATAATGGTTTTATAATGTTTATATACAAACAGTTAGTCACATACGCATTTTGTACAAGCACATTTTGTTTTATTATAACAGTTTAAAATTAATCAACAAAATTTAATTGTCTTAAAACTGTGTAGTCTGTGAAGGAACACGCCTTTAAAACAATATTTAATTTATGATAAATAAGACAATTACTGTACTGAAAAATACTTGGGATATTACATATTTTTGGGAGATAATCTTACCTTATATAATTGTTATTTGTAAAATTCTAATTCTAAGAAACACTAATCAAAAGACAAATAATTATAAATTTTTAAGAACATACCTTGACCAAGACCAAGTCCACCATAAACTCCAAGATACATATTTTGTTTAGCATGATCGACTGTATTATTATAAGTTGTTAAATTACTGTCTGACCATACACTGAGCCAAGCGTTTGAACCAATATTAAATCCTTGAAAAATAGCGTTCATTATAATTGTCGATATTGATAAAAACCAACCAATGGATTTGAAGTAATGAGAATAGACTCGCCATTTAACCTTGATAGTAAAAGTAATACATAAAATTACATTTTTTTCAATAATCTTATCAAATAAGAGAAATAACAACTTACACTTCCAGTTTCAGTTTTTTCCACCTCTATTAATTTTTCTCCCGATTTTGGAGGTAATAACTTCGTTTCTTTTATCTTATTGCTATTTTCGTAAGTACCAGATTGCTGACTACTTGTAGAATACTGTCTAAAAAATTAATAAAAGATCTACACATATAGATATATGTATATAAATAATAACAAATATATTTTATATAAATATAATAATATATAATATAATTTTACCTTTTCAACGAACCATTTAAGGATCTTTTATCAACCATTGAACCAGATTCACTTTGACTTTCTGACATTCTTGATCTACCTCTTGTTAATTTCTGTTGGAGTTCATTTGATCCAATTGTAGATTCCAAATGTTGTTTAATTTCATGCAGATCTGCCTCTGATTCGCCATCAGCATGTACTATTTCAAATTTGTCACAGAAAAATATAAACTAACATAACATATTAAAGGATAAATATCTTGAATAGTATCTTGAAATTAGAAAATAGTAATAGGATACACTTTTACATTAAAATAACAAAACCTTGAATGCATTCAGCAAATCATGGCTGTTAATTTCAATAGTTCAAAAATAAATTACAGAAAGAATTATAACACTAGTTACTTCATTTCAATAAGTCTCTGATTCAAATTTAACATGCAGTAAAATCTTACATGCATATCTTTCTCTTTTGAACAAAGGAGAAAATATATTATGCTACAAGAATAGTAAGAAACAAAATTGATGTGAAGGTTACTTTATGCTACAAGCTGGCTGATAAGTTTTAATAGTAGCAAATTGCAAAAAATACTAACATCCTTGATACTCTAATATCACAAGCCAAATGCAATATAAACCATTTTCTGGACAATCACATAAATTGAAGTAGGAAAAGGAATCGCAATTACTTTTTTCACTGACTTACGATTTCCAACTTAGATTCATGAAAAATATAATGAAAAATTAATACAAAATAGAATACCTAAATAGAAACTGAATAGAAGAAACTAGAAAAATTAGAAAAAGTGGTATATACCTTCTTGAAGATGTTGCACTAGAAACTCAGAAAAGGCTCCTCTTTTTTCTAAAAGTTCTTTGTAAGTTCCAACTTCTGTTATTTCACCATCTTTAAGAACAATGATGTTATCAACTTCAGGTAAATAAGTAATACCATGTGTGACAAGTATTCTAGTTTTCTTCTTAAGCAGACCACTAGGACCAATTACGTTTTCAAATATATGTTTTCCAACATGAGAATCTACTGCACTCAATGGATCATCCAAAAAATAAATATCGGAATCATTGTACACTGCTCTTGCCAATGATACTCTCTGTTTTTGCCCACCAGATAAATTTATTCCTTTTTCTCCAATTTCAGTTTGATCACCCGCAGGTAGCACTTTTAAATCTGGATTTAATGCACATGATTCAATTACGCGATTATATACATTTTTGTGCATTGACTTCCCAAATAAAACATTATCCTGTAACGAAGCATTTTGAATCCATGCTTGTTGAGGCACAAATGCTATAGAACCCTATTTATAAAAAAAACATATAATAACATAAAGAAATCTTTCATATTAAAAATTTTGACATTTATCTAATGAAGTATTTACTTTTGTATTGACTCTACCACTTATTTTGTCCATTTCTCCAAGAAGAGCTGATAAAAGAGAACTTTTCCCTGATCCTACAGTACCAACAACAGCTATCAATTGACCCTGTTCTACATGAAGATTGATATTTCTTAATGTTGGTCTTTCAATATTTTCCAAATCCCATGCAAAGGTGCCATTCTCAATTAATAATGTGTATGCTACATCACATTAATATATATGATATATCCAGTACATAATAGTCGCAAATATATAAAAATCATCAGAAACTTACATTCAGATGGATCATGCTGGACATTATTTGGATCTAATTCTTCTGAATTCATGAATTTATTAATACGTTTTACGGAAACATAAGCCTAGGTATTATACATTATATTAAAAAAGAAAAATCGTGATTGCATTGTAATTTAATATAAGAAATTTTTATTTACCTGAACCATGTTACCAATTATCATAGGTAATATAGAAAGTGGAAACCTTAAGATATTAAAAAGACTGAGTGAAACAAAAGCAACTTTGCTACTTAAACGATTGTTTTCATCTATAAGTACATAGGTTGCAAAGGACACCAGTGAGACCTACAAAGTTTATAAAAAAAAAGAAAAAGTAAATAAATAATGAAAGAAAACAATAAAAACATAGGTAAACATAAAAATCATGTTCATCCTTAACTCTTTAAAAACTTACTAAAAAAGGTGCAAAAGACCAGATAAAACTTATTCCAGAATTGAGATATGCTGTTTCTTTAAGTACTTTAATTTCCTTTGCACGTATCTTCAGTATTTGTTCCTCAAATGAGGGTTCCCATGCATATAGCTTTAATACTTTTATACCATTAAGTACTTCGTTCATTAATTTAACTCTTTCATCTTTATATTTCATTTGTCTAATTTGTAGTGTCTTAACTCTATTAGTGATTAAGACATTTATTGGGATGAGAATAAGTAAAACAGCTAAACCAGCAAGCACAGCTGGCCCCAAAATTTCCCATAAAAAATATAATGCTAAAACTATCTGCATTGGTGCAGACCAAATCATATTTATATATGCCGTTAAATCCATAAATCTTTGTGCATCCACGGACATTAAGTTTACTATTTCACCAACTGTTGACTCTTTTCTGGCGGAATTAGATATTCTCAATGCTTTTCGATAAATTGCTGCAATTAACGCAGTACGTACTCGTAATCCAACTAAGAGCATACGATGAAAATATTGAGACAAAACTAATGTTTGAAATGTAGCTGTAAGTAAGAGTAAAACTGCATAAAAATAGCCTTTCCATAGCGGTTCGGGTTTCTCAATAAAATCGATGAGTAACCTATATTAGAAGCATCATTAGTTTTCAGCTATGATTTTATGTAATTAATTTTTAATATAAAGAACATTAAAATTCATTTGCTTACCTTAATATTTGAGGACTAGCGAAAATTACAATATCTTGCACGAATTTAAGTGCAGCTCCAAATAAAAATGTGGCACCAAAAGCTTTGCAAAGAGGAAGCAAAACTGATGATGTCTTTTTCTTATATTCATTATTAAAATCTACTCGACCAGATGATTTTCTGAATGATGCCTTAGTATTTTGTACACTAGAAACAGATAAAACTTAAATTTATATTTATATGCTCAGCTATATATACAATTTAATTAACTTACCTACAGTAAGTCCAAAATACTCTTGTTAGCAAAAGTAAATTGATATCTTATTACTAATGTAATATATGATAAAATATATTTGATTCTATTCATTCATTTTTACTATATTTTTATTCTCTAATATTAAATATTTATAAATATCACACTTACTTGTTACTTTTTTGTGCACTTTTATTCCAATATTTGTTGAATTTAGGTACAATTTCTTTAGCTGTGTCTTCTGGATTTATTGTCCATAAATCTGTAGTTTCTAGGGGTGTTTTAAAACCTTTCCATGCCATTGAATCAAACCAAGTAAAAAAGATTTTTGCTGGAAACGAAGATCTTTGTTCTGGACATGGCTTTTCAACCTATAAATACAATATAGAGCATTAAATCCTAATGTTTTATTTCATGCATAATGTCACGTATTAAAAATATGATATATGTTTACTTACATTGGGATATTCTGAATATTTAGGCTCTGCATCAACCAAGAAGTTCAATAAGAATAGAAATACCACTATTGGATAATATATCATGTATGATACAAATGGATAAGTAACTTCATGCTAAAAAAATGATATAGAAAGAATTAATAAATTAATAATGAATTTATATCAATTGTTTGATTATTTACTGAACCCATTATTACATACGTTATTTATATATAACCTTAATAAACTTCTATATTGAACAACTCCGCATATGGTAAGGAGAAACCAAAATAAATATAACAGTCCAGAGGTTTGCATGCCATATTTTTTATTATATATTACTAAAGTACCTGCCTTAATCTATAAAAGTGTTAAAAAATGACATTACTAGCATGTAAGTTCAAATTCATTAATTTTTTGTGTAATCTATTTTAATAATCTATATTCTAATAATACTTACAAAAGTAATAATTTTTATAACTGGAGTACAATAATCAACATTATAAACTTTGACATAAGTACTTCTATGTATAGCTGTTCCTATGTCAACAATACTAAGTATAATCAATGCTACTATGAGTATTTGTTTTAAGATAAATAACCATGTGTATGGGATATTTTTGCTTTTACTGTTTAAAAAATAATAAATTTCTATTCCAGAGAATAGCCATAAAAATGTACATGGCACCCATATCAACACAGTTTTCTGAAAACATTCTGTGATGTCTGGATCTTCTGTATTCCATGTTAAACTATTATTCTAAAATGTGGAGATATGAATTATTATAACATTTGTATTAAACATATATTATTATAGATTATAACAAAAATTCTTTCTTAATTTAAACAAAATTACATTATTATATTTCGTTTTGAAATTTGTTAAATACTACTAAAACAATACAAGTAATATGTTTTAATATCTCTATTCTTTAATATTAAACATAATATTATATTTTCAAATATCATATAATCTATAGTTTAATTTAAAAATCTTATAATACAAATAAAACAAAAACATATCGAAGGTACAAGTAGAATTCTTACCCAAAAGTCAGTACCGCAAAATTGATCCATAGTATGATCTTTCATAAAAATACATTTGCTACTTCATAGGTTTTTTCTTCAGTTATATATCCGAATTACACTTATCGGTACCCTTTTATACGTTTCTTGAGCAAGATAAAGTGTTTTACACTACACACAGATATCAGTTAATTTCAATAAATGATCTTACTCAACTAGAAGGCGTTCAATTGAAGAAATATACAATTACATTATATGTATATTACCTTATATATCTATCTAAAACTAATTGGTACACAACTATCCGCTCACTTTCTCAAACAAACGTAAACTGTGTCTGAATAGAGACCGATTCACATTTTAACATTGGCTTATTTGCCCAATCAAGATGCATTACGTCATCGCTTACATTACATGCGCAAAATTCTGAAATAACGGTTCAACTTTTAAAAAGATAGAATTGTTTGTAAAACCGAAAATGGAAAACTCGATAAAATGAGAATAATAGAAACTTTTAAAATGTATCATAAGTAATTTATATGTTATTAATAAAACAATATATTTAAAACGTAACATAACTTTTTATTAAAGTATAAGAATTTCTAGATATTTTATTTCTTTTAAAGATGTATATCTAGTTCTTTATTTTCATTACGATTTTACATTCATATGTGCAAGTATATATCCCTTTTTAAAGTTAAAAATACCTGCGTATCTTGTATTTTTATGCTTATTTTTCTGATTTGTCATGAGATATAACGAATTATGTAATTATTTTTCATTGCCATATTTCTTGATATATGCTGTATTGTAGTATGTATGAAAGGTTCTTTTAATCACTTCTTTTAATCAAAATAAGTTTTCAGATCAAATATAAATTACGTCAATTTTTATGTTTCATATCCTAGTTCTTCATCTAACAGAGCAACTAAAAAAAATTAAATGAAAAATTGTACTTTACATTTTACTATTACGAAAGAACAAAATAAAGATTATTTATGGTTTGATTTCCATATACGAAAAAGTCTCCGTGATATAAAGCTTTTTCGAAGGTGTGATATCTACTTAAACTATATGATACCAAAGATTAATATTCTATCAATATTTGACAATGTCTATTGAGATAACGATTGATTGTATACAAGATTTTTAATTTCGATTTTAAACGGTAACTGTATACCAGGAGTTTCTTACTTTGTATTTCATAAGATCACACTAAATTGTATAACAATGTACGTGTACGATACTACATAATGTGCAAAGTCATAGAATGACGCAGCTATATTTAGCGTACTGATATAAAAGATAATAATGCAATGTATGTGTAAATACACTTCCACTAATCGCTAGAGTTGCTTTTGATTATTCATGTCTATTTCTATTAAAATTTAATAATATCTTAAGCAATGATACAATATAATATTTTTTATACGTATATTGATAAAACAATTTTATAGGAACCTAATTCTTAATTGGCTGTAGTATATTACTTTATATTTAACATAGTTGGAAAACATTTTATATAACTATAACATTAATATAGATATAAAAAGCAAAGGAAGAAAAAATGATGTGAGTATGTAATTGTGCAGTATTTGTCTTATATAGTTATTTTTTTTACAATTATAGACATTATTAATAAATATATTTTGTCTTATAATTAGAAAGCCAACATTGTTGTACAAGTTACATAACATATTTTCAATGATTCAAATATTTTAATTGTTACATATCTACAGGGCGTTTCCTTTATTTCAAAAAATCGAAATATCTCGTAAGGCATTAATCTTATAAAAAAAATATTTTTTAAAACAAATGTTATTTACTATGAAAGGGCACATTATGTGATGCAATCTATCTTTTTGCAGATCCAATAGTGGGGGGATATTAAGGTCAACTTCATTTTTTTAAATGGAACCATATATATCTTTTAATACATACATTGATCGAACCATCTTGGCATTCTCTATAAAAAAGAGTTAACCTACTTATGTTGAAAAATGTTAGTTTGGCATTTCCTCTTTATTGTAGCAGATATTTTCACTTTAAATTATCAAATGAAATATACAAAGAAAACGTAAATACCGCCTCGCGCTTTCCTTGTCTTTCATACGTTAAATTTGAGAAATTAAAGTTAAAATATCTGCTAAACTAGTAGTTTTTCGATATAAATAGGTTAATACCTTTTTATAGCTAATGCCGAGATAAATCGATTAATGTATTAAAAAATATATAGTCCCATTTAAAAAAATAAAGTTGACCTTAATGTCTCCCCACATCATCCGACCTGTAAAAATATAATTTGCAACACATGACGTGCCCTTCGCATCAAACAATAATTGTAAAAAGAATTTTTTGTTGGAACCAATCACTTACGAGGTACTTTAATTTTTCGAGATAAAAGAAACATCTTGTATATTATAAATAAGTACAATAGAACCCTGTTTATATGAATCTGTCACGGAACGAATTAGTTCATATAACTAGGTTGTTCATATAATAAGAGTCCACCTATTTCTCTCCAACAGCTATGGTTTTCCGTTCAGTCGATAGATCATGCTTATATAAGAGATTTCATGAAACATGTACTTTTAAATGCATAATAATGTTGCCAATTTATATCATATAACACGTATCCCTACAGTCCCTACTGTTTCAACCTTATTGTTAAAACAATTCCATGTTCATATAAGTAGATTGAGGCTCGGTGGTAGTTCAAATAATAGGAGCTCAGTTAAAGTTCAGTTAATCAGGCATTACTAAAATTTTATTCATATAACCAAAATTCTCCTATATTAATTTTGAATGTGTTATATTTTATATTATATATGATAATATTATATAATGAATATTATATGATCATGATTTAATATGATGTAAATATTGAATATTATACATGTGTAATAAACAGTTATATTCTAAATTACAAAGTATGGGAAAATTAAATTTATCATTCTATGGTAATGTATATTTATTATTCAGAAATATATCTTTATTATATATGTAATTTGATGTGAATTTAATTTATATTAATTTTATTAAATTTGATAAGTTTGGGTACTACTAAATAAAAGTGTTAGTAGCTCTGGTTCGGTTAAATTTTTCTTATATTTTTGTACCATTTCTTGAATCTTCAAACGTCTACGTACATGTGGTGGGTGGTAACTGTAAAATATTATAAATATTGTACATATTAATATGACCAAACTATAATTATAATTTTATATACCTATCATTGTCAAGCCTTTTCCTACGTCCCATATTTAATGCTGTTTGTCTAACAAGTGTTCCCAATACCCTTCTAGATACAACCATTCCATCTATTAGTGGAGTGGCCAAATTAATTCTAGAAACTGGACCTTGCAATCTGACTCTCATTAATCCACTACTGAGAGCTTGGAGAAAAATTACTTGTACATCTGATACTTGAATGACTCTTGATTGTTCAAGACCGCTATAAGTACAAGGAAGAAGATCACCTGCACATAAAATGGGATTATAAAATTTCCTTTATTTGATTAAAATAAATAAATATCTTTATTTAAGTGATAATACTAATTGGAAATTGAGCAAAATCCTCTAAACTCTCTAGCCAAACAACCATAATTTTAATGTCAGTTTGTACAGGTAAAACTTGTTTAGCTGTTTTTCTTGGTTTTACTAAATCCACATTAGAAGAGGTACAGGAATTAGATCCTGTTAAACTAGATGGTTGTTTTTCTAAATCAAGTGACATTGTTCGCGAGTTTTGCATTGTATTCTGTCCTGTCCCACTATTTCGAGGTGAAGTACTTTCACTGATGCTTCTTTCAAACCAAACTGCAATTATTAATTATTGTATAATTCGTTCACATAATATAATATTATTTTCTTTAATACATTGTCATTCGTTTTAAGTTGTACCTTGATTAGAACTGATATCACTACCATAACTTGTTTCCTCCAGTGAGTCCGAATTTACCATATTGTTTAACTGAGTGGGTACAACAAATGCAATTTCTGAGCTAACATCTGCCCAATAAAGTACATGAGTATCGCCATTATAAAGAGCTCCACCATGATCACTATGAGCTGGTTGTGGTACATTCAATTGTGGTGTTACTCTCCATGAAGTAGAAATATGTCCAGTCCAACCGGCATGTGTTGATACAGAAACTGGCCAGCCAAGAGAATTTAAGAATTCTAAGAAATTCGATGATACATTCGATTCATGTAACTATAAAAATAAAACTACTTTACATAGATGTAAATATACAGTGATAAAGTATTCTAAAATAAAAAATGTAATTACCACGTTAGATAATATTTCTGTAGAAGTTTTTTGACCAGCTTTTACATAAAAAATGTAAACAGTATCACATGTTCTTGGACTAATGTTATCTAAAGTTTCTAAGTCTAAATAAAATCCTGGAATGGTTGGATCTAAAGCAGTAAGGCCACTGTTTCTAGATTCATTGTTTTCTTTAGGTTCGATATTTAAAAAACCAAAATGACTTAGAAACAGACGTGCAGTTTGAAATTCGTGGCAAATGTGAGGTGGTACACATTCTTCTGTCTTTTCCTCTGAAACTTTATCATTTCCATCACAATATTTTGTTTCAATATTCATTTGACGTTCTAACAATTGTGTCAAAATTTGATGTTCATTTCTGATTACATCATTATCATTCATAACTGCTTCTAAACTTGGAATAGATTCATCCCTAAATAAAATTTGGGTGTTTCAATAAAATCCCATTTTTTAATATTTTTAATTGAATTAAAATACGTTGATGAAATTTAACATACACTTTACAATGTGGAATTCGGTCTACATTATCAGGGAAAAATTTAGGTTTGTAATCTGTTCGTGGAGCAGCTTCAGCTAATGGCAGTGGTCGACCTGGATTTGTATTTACACTTCTTATACTAGATCTATGTCTTGGTAAATGTCGAAGCTGCATCGTCCAAGCATGTCTTCCAAATGGACCACGTATTAATACAGTTACAGTAGGTTGTGGATCTTGATCATTTCCAAGTGGTTCTTCTAATAATGCTAATATAGTAGCATTTTCTGCAACAAAATATCGAAATCTTTCAACTGCTGCTTGACGTGGAACTCGACCCCCAGTCCAACTATTACAATGTCGGAGAAGTGATACTTCATCTAGTAAAGATGACAATGATTGTGCTCCACATGCACTAGGGAAATAACCAACCTGTAAACAAATAAATTTACTTAAAATACTTTCATAAATATATTATTTGTCAATCATAACATTGCCTAATATACTTGTTCTAAAATGACGGTAAGAAGCGCGTCAGCAGCGTCTCTAACACGCATAGACGCTGGTTTTAATTCTTTCTCATCTTTCATTTTAATGGGTTCACCAGGTTTTCCTACACTTTTTGTTCCTGACACACCAAGTTCGACTACTTCCAGAACT